GGAATATGTCAACCTATGTGCATATCTGCATAACTTAGTGAATATTTTCCAAATTACTGATTCATATTTTTACAAAATCATGCATGGTTAGAAGATCCATTCAAAGTGTAGGATAGACCCATGGATTTTAATGTAAACAGGGTATGAAACATTTATTGGTATGGTTCCAGAATTCACATTGCAACTAACCTTTAAGAAATTATCATTTGCTGAGTTTAGGTGTTATATCAAATAAGAATACCCACAATTGCCTGAAAAGACTATTTTCTAACTACATATATGTGTGAGACTGGAGTTTCTTCATGTACTTCAACCCAAACCATTACAAAAGCTATAATGCAGAAGCAGTAATGAGAATCTGGATGTTCTATAAAGCCGAACATTAAATAGATTTGTAAAGATATAATACAATGGTACTCTTCTCACTAAATATTTTTTATTTTTGGAAATTTGGGTAGTTTTCATACAAATATGTTATTTATGTTAACATATAATGGACTTATTGTTATTTATTTTTATTTTTTTTGAGACGGTGTCTCACTCTCTTGCCTGGGCTAGAGTGCCGTGGCGTCAGCCTAGCTCACAGCAACCTCAAACTCCTGGGCTGAAGTGATCCTCCTGCTTCAGCCTCCCAGGTAGCTGGGACTACAGGCATGCACCACCATGCCCGGCTAATTTTTTCTATTTTTAGTTGTTTGGCCAATTTCTTTCTATTTTTAGTAGAGATGGGGTCTTGCTTTTGCTCAGGCTGGACTTATTGTTATTTTAAAATGAATTAATATTTACATTTTTGTTTTAATTTCTAATATGGCAAATATTGATAGCTATAACCTAGATAATTAAAATCTCTTTGAGTCCTTAATAATTTCTAAGAGATATAAGGCTCCTGAAACCAAGAAGATTTAGAACCATTGGTATAAGATTAGTCTACAGCTGTGATTCTCAAAGTGTGGTCCCTGGACCAGCAGCATCAATATCACTTGGGAATCTGTTAGAAATGCAAATTCTTGGATGCCACCTTAGACCTGATGAATCATAAATTTGGGGGATAGGGCCCTATAATCTGCATTCTAACAAATTTTCCAGATGATTCTGTTGCCTGCTTAAATTTGAGAACAATTAGTATAGCAAAATATGTCAGAATGTTTGCTAATGAGAAGAAGAAGAAGAAACATTGGACTATAGCTCCTAAGAGTAGCATGGTCAAGGGAAGGTTATATTCAAAATAGAGTGTATATATATGAACTTATTATAGATAGAATTTAAAAAGCCAGGGAGAAGATTGGAGGATTTGGATAAAGAGGAGGGGGGTTAATTGATGGGTTATAGACTAGAAGGAGATGAAATTAATCTGATAAAATGCATATATAGAGGGCTGAACATTTATTTAGTGCCTTCCATATGAGTCAATGATCTGTGCACTAGAGATAAAAAGATTGATAACATTAATATGTGTTACATCTCTTATAGGACCTTAAGATAAGTTTTGTAGGAGATACAGATATGTAAATAGATGCATTACAACAAGGTAATTGCTTTAAAAGAAA